TGCAAGCTAAAATAAAGGATTTGATAGTATGTAATTACATCTCAATAACAAACACACAGAGACATAATCCCTAAAACAGATATTCAGCTTCTATTCTAGAGCATTCTTCTCTTTCTGAATAAAGAGGGAAAATTTTTAAAATGCCTTTTCCAAAGACATCAAGTAAAATCACATGAAATATGTGGAGAAATATTAAAAATAATGCTTCAGCAACTTTTCTATTAACTATGACTACACAGAAAAATCCAGATACTGAGGCCAAGACCTGCATTTGTCAAAGATACCCAGTGGTATTCTGAATTAAAAAATTTAAAAATTAACCAAAGGAGACAAAGGCATAAAAAAGACTTCCTTGCAATGCTGCTCCTTCCCTTTGAAAATTTAATGAAAGGACTAGGCCGTTGGAATGCAAGTGGAGGGTATGTCACTAAACCTAAATTGGTGGAGCTAGAAGATCCCCGTTTGTTGTAGCTATATAGTCTTCTCTTGGTAACAGGATACACAGCTTTATTCTCCTCGGGTGAATTTGTTTTACAAAGAAATTTACAGCTGGGTTACTGATGGGCTTTCCAGGGATTAGCTACATACTCATAAGAATAAGAGGCTAACCTCACCCTCTTAAACTTCACACACTACAATTCTATAGACAGCTGACAGCTACAGCCAAAGGTGGAAAAAAAAAATCCAACATTTTGCTAATCCTTAAACCAATCATCTCATGCAACAGTGGAGAGCCCTTCCAGTCTACATCTCAGTCTCCTAGGGACACAAAGTCACCTCCTGTGAACACACCATGAGTCTGTATTCGGGGCCATCCCCTCCACAAACACACAGATATCACCTAATACCCTCCACTACTTTTATTTCATACTAAGTTGCTTGAAAGCAGAGTGTTATAAATTTTGTCTATGAAGTGGAAATACACAAATCTAACCAGAAACTGGAGCCACCACAGGCCAAGACAGGAGTTCTACTCATGGAAATAAGTCATACTACAGCCAAGTAAATGAAAATAAGAAATCAAGTTTGCTTACATGAACCCTAAATTTCTTGAGTTCCCCAAATTCAAAAGCACTGCTATAGGAAATTTTTTCACATTTCCTTATACCTAACAATCAGCACAACTAGAAATCTGGTATTTTGTGGATAGAAGGACAATCTCCACTGGTCTTCTGTCCATTTCTTCTTTCTTTCTCCTTCCAACTCTATTACAATGGTGCTTGTAACTCTGAGTCAACAAAGGCACTGCCCTCCATCTTTACGTTGTGTGAGGAAGCTAAGAATGTCTTGAGCCACAATTTTGCCCTCAACTCTGTCTCCATCTGTTCTTAAAGCAACTTTTTCCTCTTGGTTTGGAACTTTTAAGTTTGTTCATCAAAAGCTAAATGGCAGAGCTTTTTCACTGCTGTGTCCTTATTAAAAGGCACTCAAGCACAACAGCTTAATGGCAGGAGCAGAGCATCTGGCTGGTCTAATCTCAAATACCCACTTCCATGAAACCACTAGAAAAGGCAAAGGAGGAGGTGACCTGCTGCTCAGAGCAATCACCCCCACAAGGGCTTGGCCAACTGGACCCTAGATCTGTTACAGACACTTAGAGAAACCAGATAAACTGCAATCAGAGTTGAGACCAAAAGGTGGGTGTAAGGATGTAAGGGCTGCCACCAAGTTCTTATTCCCACAAAAGCCATGGAAGTGAATGTATTAACCCACCTACCCATGGGGACCCTGACACAGGTTAACTGTACAAGGTCATAAAAGCAGTAAGTCACATAGTCAAGTGTCCTGCCCAAGTCCCTCTGATCCTGGACCATGCTTTTTATTCAATGCAATACATGCAAACAATGTTATATGTATTACCACAAACACCATGAAGTTGGGCAACAGGTGGCTAGAAATAAACAACCATGCAATTGTTCTCTTTAAAAAATAAAATCACACCAGGCATGGTGGTGTACCCTTGTAATCTCAGCTACCAGGGAGGCTGAGGACAGAAAGATCACAAGTTAGAGACTAGCCCCAGCAAGTGTGCATGATCCTGTCTCAAAAAATAAAAAGAGGGCTGGGGATAGCTCAATGGTTGACAGTCCCTGAGTGCAATCCCCAGTACTGAAAAGAAAAACATTAACAAAAATAGTAGTTTCACCAAATATCAACTAAAAAGCTTATCATTCTTAAATATAGGTACTGTATTTAAATGGAAGGCAGGTGGAAAAGAATTAAAATTCAGTATTCTCTGTTAGTCAGGAAAAGCTAAGATTTCTATTCTGTGCAAAATGGGCAGCATTCATTTACTCAACAAGGACTTGAGGCCAAAAAAGAGTTATGACTTGTCTCTTTCCTCTGAAGAGAACCCACAGGACAAGGACAGACTGAGCTGACCTAGGAGCCCGGAGTCCTTCAGAACATTTAACTTTTTCCAGGTTTGGTGAAGAGAAATATCTTGAACCCTGTCAAGCAAGCAGTAAGCTCCTTGATTGTACCTTAAAGGGAATGAGAATGTTTCGGCTCATTTGCATTTTAAAGGGTACTCTTTCATGATCTTTCACACTTGTAATAGATGTCTAAACCGTTAAATTACTATTTCTTTTCTTAGCCTGAAAGTCGATGCAGACTGAGAGCATGGCCTCTCCCATTGTTCTTTACCCTAAGTCGGTCCCTGAACAATACTGACAGCTGCTATCAAACTAGGCTGCATTGACTCTGCGTGCAGCTGCTGCTTGTAGGAACAGACAGTCTCCTGGTACCTCCTCCCCTCTGGGGAGACAGGTTGACACACTGCATGTTCAATGAAGGGGTACAAAGGTCCACTGAATTGTCAACCCAATTTTATGCTACTTCGATTTTCCAGGATGCACACAATTCCTTTCAAGCAAAAATCAAGCATATGCCAGAGCATTAAACTTATGGTGTGAAATAATTATTGATCACTGCAAACTTTAAAAGAACCTTCTGACATAAATTAATATACTGATGTAAAAATTTCAATGACAAAAGCTACCCAGGCCAGGATACTGAAGACAAGCAAGGGGCATAAGTCTTGTGTTGGGCTCAATTCACCAATTTGGGTTATTGTTGCTCCACTATCAGACCTAATCTGCCTTTAATCTCAACAACATTTTCCCTGGACCAAAGCCATTCGTAAAATTAGCGATTCATCTGCTCTTCTAAAACGACCTGTTTTTACTCTCTGCTTCAGCTCAAAATGGGTATTACCTATAAACATCTGGTTAATGCAATTTCCTCCCTTCTAAAGTGTAGGTCCAAAGGAGATTCACGGGTCCTGGGCAGTGCTTTTGAGAATTTAAATGTAAGCATTTTACCATTGAAAAATTACATGTGAAAATTTAGAGCTGCTCAGAAAACAAACATGTTCCACAAAGTTGAACTGGGTACTTGAGAACTGCTTTGCATATGTTTTCCTTTAATCAAAACAGGCTTTTCCATCCTCATTCATTTGGGTTAAAAAAAAATTCTGTGCTCCAGCTACAAGTACAATTCGCTATTAGTCTTTGCTAATCAAACACAGTACATGCAAAAGTACCAGTGAATATTTGATTTGATCTCTAAAATAAAGCAATTCATTACACAAGAAAAGGGTACAGAAGGCAGCAGACAAATGCAGATGTAATTGTGTTTTTTGTTGAATGTGATTAGAGAGCCCACTAAGTAACAGTCAAAAATGTGATACTGAAGGGGAAGAAAGGCAGAGCCTAGATCTGGGGGAAGAGGAGGGAGAATTGTTTATGCAGAGCTAAGCTGTCAAGTGTAATAAAGCAGCTTGAATAAAATTTAAGCTGAAAATCCACTGAAGCTCCCCATTTCAGGGAGGAAAAAGCTATTAAAAGGAAATGAAGGTCACCCTCCCAGTTTATTTCACCTAATTGACTGCCAATAGCTTACCACAGGCAACCCAACTGCAGATCTGCAATTGAGAAACTGATGAAAGCAGAGTTTTCAAGCTGAGGCTCATTCTTTAATCCTCCTTGGCTCTTATGTTTTTTTCTCCATCTCCAGTTGGGATGTAATTTTAAGCCCTGATGGATTAACTGGTTCCATTGTTTGTGGCCGTCATTGGACTATAGCACTCTTAATCTGTACAGCAGCATGTCTAATTATCATTACAAAGTGTCTGAGGGAACTATAAAGACCAGCAGGGCATCTTCTCACAAGCAATTAACATAAATTGATAAATGAGTGATTTGAATCTGCTCAAGGCATTCACATATGAATAAAATCAGAAAGAACCCTCCCCTGTTTCAGCAACTTCTTTCCCCTGGTCTGGAAGGGGGACAGCACATGAGAACCATCCTGGGTCCTGTGGTGGGCAGAGGGATGAACTCATGCAGGGGATGGAAGACACAGTTCACCAGGTTCCTTAATGCGGAGCAAATGACTTGTTATTGACAACCAGTCAGCAAGAAGCACTAGCTGAACTCAACAGAGAGCAGGAAACCACTGAAAGGCTAGAGAGCAGTAGGGCAGACAATTAACACTTCTTCCATGGCGAGAGAGCGCTCTTTCATTGGTGCGCCACTTAAAAATTCATGAAAGAGACACAAGAAAGCAAAGGAGCAAACAGTTACACAGGTTAGAATACCCTAGAAAGGAAAAGGCAAAGACAAAGAGAACTCCGTGAAATGGTAATTCAGAGACCTGGCCTGACCCTCACCTCGGTCCAAAGCTGTAAGACAGAAGATAGGAAAGTATTTAAAACTCTTGACTTACAGCTTTTACTCAGCTAATGGAGCAAGGGTGGTTTAAGTGTCATAAGAATGAACTACACTTATTTTCCCATGGAAAAGCAGATTTCCCCATTCCAAAACATCTCTCCTATCAGCTTCCCTATGCTAAGCCCTCTTCCCCTGTGCATCTCAGCATACTCCACATCCCCTGCTACCCTCCCTTATCAAACAATTCAACATTACGCTACACACAATTATACATATACACATATTAAGACATCAAACTATTAAGAAATGAAAGCTGGTTATACACACTGTAGGAGGTAGACCTGGTAGGCCACGTACCCCGATGATGGCATTCAACTCTGCCATGGTCACCTGTTTGGCACGTTCGACAGCCTGGGCCACCTGTTGTTGATGCTTTGAAAACAGGGAGAAGAAAACATGTTAGCAACAGCCAAGAACGTCCCTTTACATTCTAATAACAAAAACACAAATGCTGCGTGCTGTGTAAGCTGAATGAAGTTTAAGGGTTTAAACAGGGCACTTCTCCAGCACACAGTATTCCAAAAACATAGAAGCAGGAAACCAAGAATGGTGCTTCCTTCTACTTCTCTCACCACTCCAGAACTTGGGACTAGTCAGGGGCACTCTATCACTGACCTACATCCACAGCCCTTTTATTTTGAAGACAGGGTTTTACCATATTGTCCAGGTTGGCATCAAACTCGCTATCCTCCTGCCTCAGCCACCCCAGTAGCTGGGATTACAGGCAGGTACCAACACACCCAGCTTTCCCTGAATTTCTAACTTAACTTCTGATGGTAATTTTTGGCTTAGAATGGCAGAAAGCCAAATAGGACATGAAGAATGGCAACTTAAGGCCTTAGACAACAGAGAGAATGGAATTTAGAAGGCCACCCTGGATCACAGAACAGGTTTACAGTGATGAAAATAGGCAGATGAAGTTTACAGCAATTTTAAAACAACTGTTTCAATACTTGAAATTTAAACATCAAATCTGTGAGCACTTCTCTGATTAATAAATCTTGACCCATCAGCAGATTTTGGAAACTCTAGGAATTCCTTTTGTTCTTTTAGCCTTTTTTTACCCTTCCCAGGGGAAACAGAAAGACCCACCCTCAATTTCAGAGGATGGAAATTCACCCTGCACACTTCCCAACTACACCCCCCCCACCGCCCCCCAAAAAAGCCACAGGTTTGTTTGGGAGGCAAGAGACTAGTATGTAGGCCAAGATCCCTTAAGTCTAAACAAGTAGATTCACAAGGCCTACAAATCAGCCTGGAACAGCAGGTGTCCACTAGATCTAACCCCTGAATTCTGACTCCTAGTCCAATAAGCACTTCACTGCCTCAAGATACATTCATCCTGCACACACTGCAAACGCATTATGGCATTTATAAGGCGGTATCCAAAAGGAAGGTAAATCTTTTCAAAGCAAAACTAAAATACAGTCAACTTCACAGGTTATTCATATAAAGAGATTTCCCTCTCAAAAGAGTAAGGTTAAACCTCAAGAACATTGTATCTGAATAAAATGGCTTGGCTTATCTACATATGTGACTCATTAAGTGGATAGAATGTAAAAAGTAATTTTACTCTTTTGACTATTCTCATCCACTTCCTCCATGGACAGCATTCAGTCAACCAATCTGATATATAGGCACAAAAAACGGATCTACTTCCATGGTACTCTCTACTTAAACAATAAAAAGGACACCAGAATCATCAGTAGCTATCAAGCTTATACTACTCAAAACAAAAGCTTTATGTTGATAAGGCATTTTGCAGTTTTCCACAGAAAAAAATTAATTTGGGGTTGAACTATTGTCACCAATTCTACAGTGTGCCCTCAAACGTGTTAGACAGAATAGCAGGGGGTTTACACACTTCAGCTGTAACAGATGTTTTTTCAGGCTTGTTCCTTGTGATAAAATTAACATCTTAAAACTAGCTAATTTGCAAACAGAGAAGCAACATAATTGCACTTTAACAGCTGAACAGTTTTACTTACTTCCTGAGACAGAAATGGGATGACTTGTGCACAAATCGTATTCAATCTCTTGGCGATTTCAGTCTATAAAGACAAAGCCATACAAATATTTAGAATACTTCACAATCAAAAAGTTTCAAAAAGGTGCAACTTTATACCTTCAACACTTGCTTCCTCCTCTATTCTTACACTTGAAGGCTTAAGACTGTTTCCCTAGGTTATGTTACCAATATTTATCTTTAGATAACAAATAAGTATCAGTCCCTCCTTACAAAAGTGCAACTGCACACCTTACTGGCTACTTAGTGTAGTTGAATTGAGTCAGAAAATGCATGTGGTTTAAGGCTCTCAGGTTTAAATCTGGAGACTGCAAGCCCATAATAGACTTTTCAATGATGGCATACCATAGCACATTTATATATAGTTATAGCAGGTTCATTCAAACTGGTGTTGGAAATCTTATCAAACAAAGGGGCCCACTGACCTCCCACCCACGATGTCCCAACTTTAGCACAATGAAAAGAGAATTTTAATGCTAGTATCCTTCACTTTTTTAAAATTCAAACAAACCAAGAAAACATCACTAAAAACAACTCAGGTCTAGAGTGATTGTCAAGGAATACAGGAGAGTGTTGCCAAAAGGAAAAGGCCAATGGTTCAAGAGAACATAAGAGCATGTGTGCTGAGTGTCTGCCAGGAAAAGTACCTACTCAGCTACACACCCACAGCAGTCCCTCTGCTACAGGGACAAACCAGTGAGGGAGGGAATGGAGGCTTCCAACCTGGGGAAGGATCTGGTTGCACCACCTCCAGTACCCTACAGCAATGCAAAGCAGCTCTGCTTTCCTCTAACTCTGAAGAACCAGTTCTGCTTTGCCAAAAAAAAAAAAAAAAAAGCATCTGTAAAGAGACCTACCATTGACCTTATTTGTTGCAACATTTTCTGTCTGTGCTTACTAAATGCCGCCTCTATTACTGAATTAGAACAATGAAGAGGATCAAGAGAAGAAAATTACAAAGCAAACAGGCCATGCCCTTGAGAAACAGAGAATAGAATTAAGTAAGATAAGGTAGAAACCCAAGAATTTTAAAATCAAGTATATAAAAAAGAGACCCTTTTTGTCCTCTAAGATGAATCCAGTTAACTGAGCATCAAAGTCTTTGGTTTTATGGGATGGATTTAGCCCAAATAACCCAGTTCTCACAGATCACCAACGAGAAAAGGTTATAGATCCTGCAATGGAAGAAAAGTACTTTAAGGGAAAATGGCTGGTATAGAAAGCAACCCTATGACCTTGCTTTAGCCAGTGGGGCAAACAGATATATGCAAAAGTGGTGCAGCTGTACCAGGTGCAAAAACAGAACTGGGTCAGCCCCACCCAGTTCATTTGACCACAGCCACCCACTCAAGTTAACTCAAGGTCATGGCTCTCCTCGAAAGCACGGCAGGCTTCCCTTTCCTTTAGAACAAGGTTATGCAAAACACACACACACACACACACACACACGTGCATATAGGAGTAGGGATGTTCTTTGTGGACTCCTAGGTTAAGTCTCCATACCCACCTACCACAGATTCCAACACATACATTCTATACTTTCCCCTTCTCAAAAATCCACTTAACATTTTCCAATTTTAAAATTAACAGATGCATTGGAAATGGTGACACATGTCTGTAATCTCAGCTACTGAGAAGGCTAAAGCAAGAGAATGTAATTTAGAGGGCAGTCTCAGTAAAATAGCAAGACTCAATATAGTTTAGGGCAGGGGATGTAGCTCAGAGGTACAATATTCCGGGGTTCAACCCAAAGTGCCTTTAAAAAAAAAAAAAAGATATATGCTTGGGCTAAGGAGTGTAGCTCAGTGGTAGAACACTTGCCCAGTATGCATGAGGCACCAGGTTTGGTGATGTTTTGTTTTTTAAGATATATACTCCCTTTGAACACACACCACATGCACACAGATGTATATGAACAGAGAAAGAAAAGAAAGTTAAAATAACCCTAAGTCCATCATTCAGAAATATCCATAAGTAACATTTTGGTGATCCTGGGACACCATCTTTTCAGGGTCTCACTTTACACGCAGAAGCCCCTAGTGAGAATATACTTTTAAGACCAAGGGGTCCCACTATACACACTGGCTTTCTATAATTTGTTGTCCACTCAAAAAATGGGTCACAGACCCCTTCCCAGTCAATACACACAGGTATGAATGACTACATCATGAACATATTCTACCATATAAGCATACCAAGATTTAAGCATTCCTGACACCAGTGGGTATTTATCTTCATTTATTTTCCACAATTACAAGACTCAATGTCAAATAACCCTCCACAAGATCTCTAAAAGGAGTTTCTGAAAGTGAAAATCTGAGTCAAAGTGTGTACATATTTTAAAATCATAATGCATGCTGCCAAACTGCCCCTCAGGAAGCTGCACCAATGCACATTACTGCCCGTCTACAAAGGTGCTTGCTCTCCCAATGTCAATATTGGATTTTCTTGACCTTTTTTTTTTTTTAATCTTTATCCATCTAACAGATTAAAAAATGACCCCATTTTTATTTGAATTACTTGGATTTTTCCTGAAGTTAAACATCTTTTCATATATTTACTGGCCCATTGTATCGTTCCTTTCTCATTTTTTGCTGGTGTTTAATCATCATTTATCTTTTTGTAGTTCTTTACATAAAACAAATATTAACCCCTCATCACAGTTTGTCCAGCTTGCGACTTGTCTTTCAACCTTGCCTAGTAAGTTGTTATATGGCCAAACCAAAGAAATTTCTTCCTATGCTTCTAGCCTTTGGGTAAGGATTGGAACATACCAAAATTAGACAAGCCATCCTTATTTGTCTTCTAGTGCTGCTACGGCTATGCTTTTTATACTCAATTACCTGATCTTCTGGATTTTATTTTGATTTAGGAAGAAAAAAAATTCCTTCATTTCTAATTAAATAGTAACTATGTGTTATGTAATAGAACAGGTTGAAAATAGAATTGAACATCATCATAGGGCAGTTAAGACCCATTCTGAGTGGGATGAATGCATACTGTAAATCTTTAGCAAGATTAAAGTGATCAAAAAGTAAACAATGTCAGGCACCACCCCAGCTACTAGGGAGGCTGGGGCAGGAGAACTGGTATATTCAAGCAACTTAGTGAAATCCTGTCTCAAAATAAAAAATAAAAATAAAAAGAGCTGGGAATGTATCTTAATGTAAAGCATTCTTAGATTCAATCTCCAGTACCAATAAATAAATAAATAAATAAATAAATAAATAAATAAATAAATAACAAAAGAAGTTGATTAAAGCAAAGATGATATAAACTGGGTTGGACTAGGTAAGACTGAAATGGGAAGAAGAAAGTTACAGATCAAAGCTCAAACTGATGTAGAATCATCAAAAGCTGTGCCATATGTCCTGAAAGTTCTAAATAAATAGTATGGAAAAGATATGAAAATAAAAGCCACAGGGGAGGATCTTATCCAAGCCATAGTCTCTCTCTGTAAACCCTAATGTTAAAACTATACTGACCAGTGAAATTGATTTTTTGAGCCAGATGACCTAAATTCAAGTTTTGCTTCCACTTCAAGCTGGTTTACCCTGCACAGGGAACAGTCTACCTCCTGGTCCTGTGAGGACGCAGCAAGCACTTGACAATGCTCTGAGAGTTCCAAAAGCACCATCATCCCTCCCTAGGGGGAATTCTCATAAGTTTCCCCATTCTGTCCAACAGTCTGGATGGCAGCAGCACAAAACCTGACAGAAATTCTTGGTATTACCTTCACTTCAACCCAAGATCACTCTGATAAAATTGTTAATTTAGCACCAACTAGCAAGTAGCAATGTTTCCCACCCTACTGCAGGTCACAGAGTCTGCAGATAGGATTCCCTGGATATTGGACCCTGCTTAAACCAACACTGAGAGAGTTCTATGACCTTTCCACACATTGCCTTTCACTTCTTCCAAAGATTAGAAACTCACAGGAAAAAACTGCAGACTGATGGAGCATGCTGGCACATGCCTGTAATTCTAGTTTGAGGCCAGCCTCAGCCACTTAGTGAGAAACTATCCCAAAATAAAAAAAAAAAAAATTAAAAGGGCCGGGAATGTAGCTCAGTGATAAAGCACCCCTGAGTTTTAATTCCTAGTATAAAAAAAGAAGAAGAAGAAGAAAAAGAAGGAGGAGGAGGAGGAGGAGGAGGAGGAGGAGGAGGAGGAGGAAGAAGAAGAAGAAGAAGAAGCAGCAGCAGCAGCAGCAGTAGCAGCAGCAGTAGCAACTGTGGGCAAATAGTATTTTCCACCCAGAAATTATTTTCCTGCTCAAAGCTGAATGTATTTGGTACCTGCTAGACCACAATGTTTATAAGTAAACTTTTCCTAAACTTGCATTTCTGATACTACATAAGATGTACATAAACTTGCATTTCTGATACTACAACAACAAAAAATCAGCACTCATGAGTTATCCCCAAACCAAATGTGCAAGGAATCCTCCCACTTAGAAATGTAAGGAGCTGGGTAAATGCCCCATCATCAAGCTTCACTTCAAAGACACTCTGCCTGATCAGTGGGCAGCAGAAAGCAGGGGTTCAAATCACCTATCTAGGACAATCATTTATGCTCTTTGCCCATGCCAATTCCTCTGGCTGATATGCATACGATAGAGTTAGCCCTCATGATCCAAAAATTGAAGTCTATCCCAGCAAAGGAGAGCTAGGTGTCCCAAGCCTTCTATGATAGTAATAGGAACATCTCTAACCTACTTCAGAGATTCATCAAAATCAAGTGAGCTAATATAAGTTACAGGTCTACTATTCCAAAGAGCTATACAAATCTCAGAGTTTCCCAATCCTTCAAGGCCTCCCCTGTGCCACCAATAAACACACTCTTCTCTACCCTCTTCAAGATCCTCCATAGCACTTACTCTCATTTGATAAACTAAAGCTACATGCTGCCACCACCACCTTACATAAAGCTCCCTCAGTCTCCTCAGAGCTTCCTGCAACCAGTCTTCTCAACACAATATGGGAAGCTAACAACAAGACCCCCACTAAATACTCTATTTCTTCCCCAGACCTTGCTCACCAAAACTGACCATGGGTACATGGACCAAGGTAAAACCAGATGAATCATTACTGAACAGTGCTAGAGTTAAGGCTCTGTTTACAGAAAGAAATGTTAGTAGGTATAAGATTCATGCAACTGGAGCTGAGGGTGTACCTCAGTAGTACAGAGTGTGCTCAGCATGTGCAAAGCCCTAGGTTCAATACCTAGCGCACCCACCCTGCCACACACAAAGATTCACATTCTTGTATATGTTAACTGACCTAAAATATGACCAAATATTGCAAAGACTAACAACAAATCAAAACCTGGTATATTTTGCAAAGCTTTTAAGCTGAAGATATGTTCTGGG